AAGCAGACTCCCTGCCGAGCAGGGAGCCCGATGCGGGACTCGATCCCGGGACTCCAGGATCATGACCTGAGCCGAAGGCAGTCGCTTAACCAACTGAGCCACCCAGGCGCCCCTGGTAAATATTTTAAAAATTCTCTTCTGTTTGAAAAAATTATCCTATAGTAAGATATTTTACTTGGCACACTTTAAAACTGTAGCTCCATCCTTCAAGTAATCCCATTTGCCAGCTGCCCAGTAACTAGTGAAAAATGAAATGATAGCACATCAAAGCCTGGTGAGCAGGTGTTCATGAGAAAAGCCACCTCAGCAAGGAAAATACCAGGAAATTTGACTCAGAGCCCAGTCTTTGTTTATTCTTGCAGCAGGTGATACGCTTCAACTGAAAACACAGTTTGCTGTCTCCCCAGTGATCTTGAATTACATCTAATTCTTCAGACCCAGCAAGAGCTTATCTGCACATCTTCAATTATCCTGAGACGCTGTTGGTGTTGAAAAGATCCATCTGGTGCAGAAGCTTAAAGTCCATAAATATTTTAAGTCTGCATGTGGACTAGTTTCAGAGCCAGTTGTTATTCTTAGCGAGTCACAAGTGTTTATTTGGCTGTTCTGCATATTCTGATTATGTGCCGTCAAGTATAATACTGTACATATATTTCCCTAGGTTTCACAAACTCTGCCCTGCAGCATAGCTTTGCTTCTGCAAATGAAGCACCCTTCTACCTCTGGGGATCATCAACTAGTGGCTTGACCAGAGTCTCAGTAACAAGGCCTTTTGGAAGGGCCAAACCTAAATGGTCTCAGGTGGGCAAACTTAGTGATATTTGTGTGTCTGTCTATCTGTACTTTTTAAAGAGGTACATTATCTTAGGTTGTATAAATGAGGACAGATGTTTGTGCCCTACATCAAATAGCTTAGCTCTTCTCTGTGTAGGAGATGAACCTACACAGAGCATACGTGTGTAGAATTTAGTTCATTGTAATAGATTAAGGAGTATAAGGCTCATTCTTGAATCATTGTGTCTTATTTCTTCTAGGTTTTCAGTCCGGAAGTACAAACAAAATTTAACAAGATAACTGCAGTGGCAAAAGGATTTCTTACTCGTAGGCTTATGCAGACAGATAAGCTGAAACAACTTCGCCAAACTGTAAAAGTAAGGAGCTGCTCCGTTGTTCCTATTTCACTTCTGGCTCAGTTTCTCAGTCCAGCGACTGCTAGTCACTAGCTGCAGATGACACATTAGTTCAGAACTTAGGCAGATCAAACATTTCTTAGTCACTGCAATGTAGGCAATTATATGATTAATCTCATTCAGATGATTTTTTTAAGTATGTAAATAAAATAGTTTGTGGATGTCTCTTCAAAGTGAGTGCCATTTAACTTTGGATAAGTAATAGTTTTATGTTCTTAGTAATTTTGAATTGGCCGAGAAAAAAATCAAAACGAAATTCCAGTGATCATGAATTTTTCTAGAAAAGTGGTTTTTGACAGAGTATTTCTTCTTCCAGGACACTATGGAATTCATAAGGAGTTTTCAGTCAGAAGCACCATTGAAGAGAGGAGTTGTTTCAGCGCAAGATGCCTCTCTTCAGGAAAGAGTGTTAGCTCAGGTAAATGCATGTATCCTGAAGGCCTTTAGGAGATGGAAATTTCTCTCTCTCCCTTCATTTAGCCACTGAAAATAGGTTTTAATTAAAACTAACCTTTTTCACTTAAAAGTGCAAGTGCATCTAATATTACTGAACTCTAACCTCATCGTTTTAAATGGGTACAATATTTTCTCCTTTTGAACCTAGTTGCGAGCTGCCCTGTATGGTATTCATGACATATTCTTTGTAATGGATGCAGCGGAAAGAATGTCTATTCTACATCATGATCGAGAAGTTCGCAAAGAGAAAATGCTCAGGCAAATGGTATGTTATATGTTTTTTTAAAGAATGAGTGAAAAAGAAAAAAATATTTCTTCTACACTCATGAAACTTCTGGTACTTCTGATACCAGATGTGTGAGTTTTTCCCCCATGCCGACCACTTCTCCCACACCAGTGGGGTGTCCTACAATTCACTTCAGTTCTGATAGTATCTACTTGGAATTAAGAGTCAGATACTACAAGGTAAGGAGGCAGTTAAGACTCCCCATCCAAAGTCTCAGGTTGTCAGTTGTATTTCTGACTCTACCAGCTATAAAACAGGATTCCCACAACCCTACCTTTCGGTTTGATAATTTTCTAGAATGGTTCACAGTTGTTAGGGGATTTACTGGTTTATTATGTAATAAAGGACATAATTAGGATGTAGATGAACCACCAGATGAAGAGACGCATAGAGTAGAGACTGGAAGGGTCCCAAGGGCAGGAGCTTCTGTCCCCCATGGAGTTGGAATGTGCCATCTTCCCGGCACGTGGATGTGTTCACTAACCTGGAAGCTCTCTGACCCCATACTTTAGGTGTTTTTATGGAGGATTTATCATGTAGGCATGATCAGTGATTAACTCAATCTGTAGCTCCTCTCTTGTCTCTGGGCAAGGGGGTAAGCTTCTACTCCTGCTTGGTCTTTCTGATGAATAGCCTGTACCTGGGAGCCCCCAAAAGTTGTCTCATTAGAACAAAAGATGCTCCTATCACCCAGAAAATTCCAAGGGATTTACGAGCTCTGTGTCAGGAACTGAGGTCAAAGACCAAATATTAGAACAAAAGATGCTGCTGCCATTACGATCTCACCTTACAAGGGTTTTAGGAGCTCTGTTAGGAACTGGGGTCAAAGATAAAATATTAGCAGGAACCAGGGACAGAGACCAGTTTATTTATTTCTTCTTATTTCACAATGAGGTTCTTCTGGGTTTGGGGTAATTGATACCAAATCTCAGTCTCTGTTTTGACTTCAGCACCCTCCCTACAATTGTTTTTTTTTTTTTTAAAGATTTTATTTATTTATTTATTTGAGAGAGAGAGAATGAGAGACAGAGAGCATGAGAGGGAGGAGGGTCAGAGGGAGAAGCAGGCTCCCCGCCGAGCAGGGAGCCCGATGCGGGACTCGATCCCGGAACTCCAGGATCATGACCTGAGCTGAAGGCAGTCGCTCAACCAACTGAGCCACCCAGGCGCCCCAAAGATTTTATTTATTTATTTATTTATTTATTTGAGAGAGAATGAGAGACAGAGAGCATGAGAGGGAGGAGGGTCAGAGGGAGAAGCAGACTCCCTGCCGAGCAGGGAGCCCGATGCAGGACTCGATCCCGGGACTCCAGGATCATGACCTGAGCCGAAGGCAGTCGCTTAACCAACTGAGCCACCCAAGCGCCCTCCACCCCTCCCTACAATTCTTAAGCACAGACAGTTCCCAGGATAACCAGCAACACTTAACTCTGAAGACAGATTTAAAAGAATTGGGTATTGTTTTATGATTGGATTTTGGAGTCGAAGTTTTGAATGTTGTTTGGATGACTTATGAAAAACTATCATTGAAAAAACAAAACCAAACAAACAAAAAAACTATCATGGCTCCTGATTGAATTTCCTTGAAACTACCATGTGGATTTTGCTTTTTTTTTTGAAACCAGAGTTATTTGAAATATGTCAGAGTGTTGGAGGTGTGTGGTTTGAATCGGTGATTTTAATGTGGTTGACAAAAGAAAAGGAAGCTAAATTTATATTATTTCATTGGGAAAAATAATTGTAATTATTTAAGAAGTTGGACTGCTTTAGTTCTAAAGACAGACTAAGTTAAAGTTCCAAATATTAGCAAGACAAGCTTTTCCATGCAGTTTGAAATCATCCTATATTATTTTAGTGGTATTACTGGTACCACTAAAGCTTTTTGGTTTGTATTTTCAAGGACAAAATGAAAAGTCCACGAGTGGCCCTGTCGGCTGCAACACAGAAGTCTCTCGATAGGAAGAAGTACATGAAGTAAGTTTTCTGTTTCATGTCACATTAATTCATTTATTAGCAAAGCAATTAATTTTAGTCATCTGTTGGTCTATTTGTGTTCAAATTAGAAAAAAGTTCACTTTTCTACAGCTGAGTTGATAGAAATCCCTTTTTTTAATACAAAGTTTTATTATTCAGGTGGTAAAATCTGATTTCATCCTTAGGTAAATGTATAAACTACTAAGTGACACTAAGTGTTCAACTTGTGTCATCGATAGCCACTCAGCCTTAAAAATAGTTAATTTTTATATTCAGTGTTAATTTTACATCTTTTGAATGTATTCTTTTTCTAATGTGTGAAAGACTTCATGGGAGGGAAACCTAATGCCAAGAACATCCTAGTAGCTATTCTAGTAAGCTGCTGCTTTCTGGAAAGTAATCTCTAGTGCACTGAGTCCAGTTGAGTAGTACAGCAACGTGTAAATGATTTGTTTCTGTCGTCCTGTATCACATCCATAAGTGTTTTCTCTCCCTTTCTAAATACAGTGTTTGTCCTTATTTTTATATTGTGTTAGAGCTGCTGAAATGGGAATGCCAAATAAGAAATTTCTGGTTAAACAAAATGCTTCTGAAACAAGGTGAGAAAAATCACTTCATCTCTGTGAGAAGCTATTTATTTTAAAAAAATTTATAAATCCCAAGCTTACTTTCTGTTGATTTAGTTCTAACTTGAGATCAGTAGAATACTCCCTGCTGACTAGAGGATTGAAGAGGGGCTGAGATCCATATTAACGCTGGGTCATGTACCTGGTTACATGATCAGACCAGGTGTTTCTGGAGCTTTCTTTAGGATATGCCATCTCAGGTAGAAATTTCAGCCCCTTATGTGCCAAGTTCAGCTCATTGAAGTCCAGGACTTACTTAGGATACTTACTTAAAAACCTTAGGGGCACCTGGGGGGCTTAGTCAGTTCAGCATCTGCCTTTGGCTCAGGTCATGATCCCAGGGTTTTGGGATTGAGCCCCACATCGGGCTCCCTGCTCAGTGGGAAGCTTGCTTCTGTCCTCCCCCTCCCCGCTGTACACTCTCTCTCTCTCAAATAAATAAATAAATAAAATCTTTAAAAAAAATAAATACAAACCTTAGAAAGCTAGCTTAATATTTCTGACCTGTTTTCTACTTTTACAAGAGCGATGTTACTTGATGTTTGAAAGGAAAAGTTGGTTTTTGTAAAGTATATAAATAAATTACCTAAAAATACAAGAGTTAAACAGTTATGTTGGACATCCTGATAAAAACCTAAGATTTGGGCTCTCGGTGAGCAAAATATAAGTACCATATTAATATGCTTCAATCAGTTTGATTTGCTATGTGGTATTATTATATTGGCCTATCCTTATAGATGACTTCCATCTCATTGTTAATCATCTTTCATCTGTTAAAAGAAAATGGGAGGGGGAACTGAATTTATATCATTCTCTTTTGAATTAATTTTTTACTTACTTTGTCGACAGAGTCCTTCAGCCAAACCAAGGACAGAATGCACCCATTCACAGGCTACTTAGTAGACAAGGGTAAGAATGTCCCTGCTGGGTATTTAAAAACATCCAAATCAAGATTAGCTTTGAGTGGGAAACATAATTTAGTGCTCTTTAATAAAGGATAACTATTTTACAAATGTGACTTATTCATAGCATTACGAAGATCTTTTAACGCTTTGTGTTCAAAGATAACCCTTTGGTGTACTGTTGTGTATTATATCTTAATTATCATCTTATGATGGCATGTTTTTACTTTTCATTTCATACCATTTTGCTCATTAAGTATTGTAAGCATCCATACAGTAAGTTCAGCATCACCAAAGTGCTTCCCCAACAAAGTGTAAGCCTTGGTTCTAGTCCCCTGCTGAAGCAGAGTGTAGTTTCCTTTCTGTGCGCATGCGTGAGATTTAAGTCCTTTTCAAGCTTATTTGTACTTGGAACCATTGATGCACTATGGTTGCTTTCTTTGAATGTTGAACATTTAGACCTTAATGCAAGTGACTTATTAATTTTTTTATATTCAATTAGAACCCCTAAGACATCAGTGAAGGGGGTTGTGCAAAATAGACAGAAGTCTTCACAGAGCAGAGTGCCTAACACAGCGCCTGTTTCAGGTGTGTAGCAAATGAGTTCCTGAAGACCGTTCAATAGAAGGACGTGCACGGGCTGCCCCGTGATGCAGGCCACGCTATCTTGTCTTTCCTTGCCACCGTAATTTGGGCATATTCACAGCCATTCCTGCGGGTGATCATTTGTGTTAGTATTTTGTGGCAGTCAGGAGATCATAGTAAACCTATGGGTCCGATCTTGATTTCTATAATGAAACACTATACTTTTTTTAATCTGAAAAATTTGTAGAATTATACATGCTTAATTCAGAAAACCTTTTTATACATGAGTAAAGTATAATAATCTGATGCCTAAATCTGTGCGTGTTTGTTCGGCTTTGGGGAAGTGTATCACCGGGAATATTTGTATCTGCACGTAAAGTGATGAAAAATTTTTCCCTCTGGCCACAAGATCACATGTGAATATGCCAGGTGGGAGGGGGTAAGTTTTGTTTTTGTTATTTTATGGATTTTAAATTGTTTATGGTGGCAAGAAGACAAATTCAGTATTAAGCGAATGCAAAGCTCTTAAGCTAATGTTTTAATATTTTGTAGGTACCTTTGTTAAGACACTTTGATAAGCTCACCAAAAATGATGTGATCCATTAAAAATACTTTCAAAATGCTTTGCTTTAACTACACTGCTTTCTAAACATTTAAAAGAAACCTAAATTAATTGCTAGGCAATGAAGATTAAATCTCTAATCAATTCTAATCTTCCCATTAATATGCAATTAGGCATATATTAGCGTTTTTATTACTAAGTGATTTCCTCCAAATTAGGAGGGACTGAACAACATAAGAAATTTTTTTGTGTCATTGCTATTTGTTCACTAAGTTTGAAGAGGGGATGAGATATACTGATCATAACTTTGAAATGATTGCTGACTTTTTGCATGTATATAGTGAATTTAATTCATGGTGTTGCATATGTAGAGTATAATATAAAAGGTCATCTTTTGAAAGTTGCTGTGAGTGACAGTCAGTGGAGTTGTTTTAAAGGAGATTATATAGTTGAAGATGCTGCTTATTCCAGAGGTGGTCAGAATGAGCTGGTTTGAAAGGTTACTGGAAGAACTCAGACCAAACACCAGATCTGTTGCTTGTGAGGTTATATGGAATTTTAAGACCTTTTCAATTTTTTTACCATATTAGAGTTATATATTATGATAAATCCTGGCCAGTTGGTGATTCATTGAGGAATTAGTATTGTTTTGTGTGATATTCTCCACTTTCCACGGTGACGACTATCCCATGTTCTTGTCTCATGCATTTCATCTCCACTGTTTGTCCCTCGTGAATCTGTAAGAAAAAGAGCAAGTAATACTCAACAGTATTAAGGATGAATAGGTCATTGCAGTTAGTAATGTACTGAAGTTCAGTATCTAGAACTAGTGTGGTTTAATTGCATTGCAACGTAAATACAAACGAACTTAATGTGTATAATTATTATATATCTAAACAAGTACAAAATTTCCTATTTTTTCTAAAGATTTACTTGTACATGAATGCCTTAGACAATTAAAAAGACTAAAGATTTTATCATTTTACATAAATTAAAAATTTGGGATATGACTGATTAAAATTCTTACTATGAATCTCAACATAGAGATCCATAGTGGCAGTTGAAAAGATTATTCTTTCCTGCTTAGATTTTTAATGGCCTGGATTATGTTTCATACAAACTTATGCTTTATTCTGATCTGCATGGAGAATGAACCCTTTGTTAAGCAATTTATAGAAAGCTCATTTTTGTTGTGATGATAGACTTTCATACTCCTAGACCAAAGTAGGATGCTAAGGGGTTACAGTTTGCTGCAAAGCACTTAAAGTTATTTATAGTTCTTACAAACTAAGTTGCAATCTCTGATCTCATGTTTTAAAACATTTGCTCATTTGTTGTCTTGTGCTTGACTCAGGAGTTTATAGTGACATTCAAAAGCCACTAATTAAAGCAAAGTAGAAGCAGTCATGCAAAATGGTTGTTAAGTAAAACAACAAATCAGGTGTAACTGGGTTCTCAGAGCTTCTGGCTGCTGCTTAGGCACGTGACTTACTCTCCCATGTCTCGGTTTTATTATCCTTAAAATAGTAGTAACAGTTTCTACGTCGGGATTATTTTATGTAAGGATTAAGTATGATCATGTATATCGCTTAGCTTGGTGCCTGGTATATAGTGAACACTCATTAATTGGAATTATAGAAAAATTGACATTGAGAAATAATATTAGTTTTCCTCTTTTTTTAGGAGTATATGCAGGAAAAATCCAAAGAAAGCGGCCAAATGTTGCGACAATTTAAGAAGACAACATTCGTTAGGATAAACAAGGGGCGGGATGGGGGGCTTCATGCTTACTGTTTTCCCTGCCCAGGACTCTTTAGTTAACCCTGGACTGTTTACACAGGCAAAGTGACATCAAAGGGCTGAGCAATATCTGCAGACTCGATCAGTCTGGCTAATTCCTTCCCTACACCCTCATTATCCTCTTAACATTAGGTCTGGGTGAAGACACAGTAGTATTTAGTAATCGACCATCTCTTTGCTTAACCTGTACAAACTTAAGTTTGTTTTCTGTACCCAGATGTCTGCTGAGAACGTTTTTTATAAATTTCAAGGACATTTGGGTTTATTTCTGTAAAATGTTGAAAAGGTGTGATAAATTACAAGTAAGTTTGGAAATACAAATTTCATTCATCTCTGCATACTGATTGCTAAATTTGATAAATTAGATTCTATTCTATTTGAGGGGAAATTACTACAGGAGAATGTCTTTCTCTGGTTTTGTAAAATTTAAACACTGATTAATCTCTCAGTCTTCATATTCTTGGACTTACGGGATAATCTCATAGGAGAAAACACTTGCCTGCTGATTGTAGTCCATCCAGAATTTACCACAGAAGTAGTTGGGAGCCACCATTATGGTCAACAGTATACATTCCTCTTAACCGCTAGTTTTCTTGTGCAGAAATATTAGGTTTAATGTAGGTTACCCCAGTACTCTTGGACACACTTCTCCTAAATCATAAAATCTTTCTGTGGAGGGTAACAAATTAGGGAGATAGCACAATCTTCTTGAATGTAGTGGCACCTAGGAGTGAATCAGTGCATCCATTTCTGTAAAATAGAGTCACACTGCATGCACTTCTGTTTTCTTGGTGGTCTGCGTGTTTTGTTCCTTCATAGTCTGTTTTTTCTAGCTTGCCTGATTTAGGAGACACTAAAGGGCTATACGGTAACAATAAGTTCAGACCTTCCAGTGGGGTGGTAATATTGTCGAGCTGAAATTCTGCATTACTTAAGAGGCACTGATGTTTAAGGTTTTCATCACTAATGTATTCATTTAAAATATAAACCAAAAAATGTTACCAAGGGAACATTTTATGAAAGAGAATGTCACTGTTAATTTATCATGCCATTTCCAAAAAGGGCTTTGTGCTTCTCACATACAATTGGGACTGTGTACATTTACTCTTTCTAACTTGAATTTTAAATGATACTGGTATTTTGAAAATGCAGACTATATATTCTTAATATCCTTTTAAGAAGGTGGAGATAAAGATTGTTTTCTCCAACTTTCTGTCCTATTTAAAAATTTAGCTGCTACATCCAGCCGTAGACAGACAATAATCTACTCTGGGTGTAAACTTGATTTTCTTGAGATATGTATCATTTATCATTCATTGAGTGAGCCAGGAAATCAGAAGACGGTAAAAAATGTCTGAGTTACCAATTTTTTATTTGTAGGCAAAGTATATCAAAATATCTTAATACGATAAATTGTGCTTTATAATTCTGAAAACTCAGGATACAGCTTACTCATATTGTGGGTCTTTCCAGAAAGACAGACAGATGCTACAAGTTTTGTGCGCACTAATGCAAATTAGCTAAAACAAATAGTATGTTTTGGAGGAAGTTAAAAGTAGGTTTAGATTAAGGTTGAGTAACGGGAGTGTTTTTTTTTTTAAAGATAAAAGCCTGTTTTATACATATTTTTAATGTTCACAGCCTTTTCTCATAAAAGTGCCATTGTTTTGTGCTTTTAATGGATTTATTTATATACATTATTTTTGTTATTTTTGAGTGGAATGTCCATTAACGTAAATTGTATTTATTTTTATACTTTAATTTTCACTAGTTTTGCTTCTAGGCAAAAGGCAAAATAAACTTTCCATCTTAAAAGAAATGTAGTTTGATCGTTATTTATCAAGGAAAGGACCATTAAGGGATAAATACTGAAAAATCTCTGGCCAAAACATTAATACTATATTGATCTTTTTTATAATTAAAAGTCCCATGAAAGGTATGTCCCACTATTTAATGTGTAACCTATACCAGGGCTTCGTCCAGCATTTGAGTTTGAACGAATCGGACTTTCCAGGAAGGGAAAGTTCACTGGAGCTGGACTCCCTTAGCTCAGTCGGAGCTAGCCGCCTGCTCCGGGCCAAGGGGAGGGAATGCTGAGGTTGAAGCTCACCTCAAAGCTGCTGATGATAATTAGCACCACTTCAAGATCCAGGTCTTGTTACTGCCTCACGTTCACCTCTTTTAGAGGAGAGCCTGCACTGTATAATCTGAAAACCGCTCACCTTTTTCTGGGGCCGCCCTTCAGCTGTGGTTCATTTCATCTGCTGGGAATGGTGGACATGATATGACTGGAGCTGAAAACAAGCCCGCCCCCAGCCCCCAGCCCCCAGCGAAAAGTTAAAAGTAAATGAAAAGTTAACGGTTATACAAAAATAAGCAAACGGAGGTGGAATGCTTTATCACTGAGGGACTATAGCCAGCACACGTATGGGTTATAAAAATAACTTAAGGGGCGCCTGGGTGGCTCAGTCGTTGACCGTCTGCCTTCGGCTCGGGTCATGATCCGGGGTCCTGGGATCGAGCCCCGCATCGGGCTCCCTGCTCCCACGGGAGCCTTCTCCCTCTGCCTACTTGTGCTCTCTGTCAAATAAAATCTTTACAAAAATAATTTAAAAGAAACAAGGAAGAATCACTATGCTGTACTTCTGAAACTAATATTACACTGTATGTTAACTGGAATTTAAAATACTCCAACCCCCCCCCCCCCCCGCAACAGAACAAAACCCAGAACCCAATCTAAAACACACACACACAGAAGGGAGACTTGCTGAATACAGCAAATCAAACTGGAATATGGTGTAGTGACTGAGTCACATCCTCAATTAAGTTCTAAGGACAGCTCTGAGGGCCAAAAATCGTGTCTAGCCAAAATTACCGTTGACAACAAAATACTGCCTTTTCACTTCCTTTCGTGGCCAGTTTCTCTGTGGCTCTCAATTCTTCGGTTTCTTCAGGTGGTTTACTTCTCAGCCGGTGGTGGGGTAACCCCCCCCCCCGCACATTCCCGTGGGTTAAAACAGCCGGCTTGGGGGTACGCGCCCCGCTCACCCAGCCCCGGAGCTCGTCCGAGCTGCAGAAGCCCGGCCGCGCCGGACCCAAATCGGAGCCCGCGCCGGGGTGCACACGCCGGCGACAGCAGGTTGCCGTGCAGACAAGAGCTCTGAAGGTGCAACGCGATCCTCTGCGGGCCTGCGGATGCTCAGCTTCAGGCGAGCGCTGACCGCGCGCGGGGCGTTTTATTTTATTATTTTTTAAAGATTTATTTATTTGACAGAGAGCAAGAGAAGGAACACAAGCAGGGGGAGTGGGAGAGGGAGAAGCAGGCCTCCCGCCGAGCAGGGAGCCCGACGTGGGGCTCGATCCCAGGACCCTGGGATCATGACCTGAGCCGAAGGCAGACGCTTAACCGGCTGAGCCACCCAGGCGCCCGGCGCGGGGCGTTTTAGAGCCGTCTCCCCACACGTGAGAGTCAGCGGGACCCGGCGTGCGGAACTCCCGTGTGCCGCCGAGTGTATTATCGCGCCGTTTTCCCGGGAACGTGGTTCATGCGCTGTCAGAGGCCACTTGCGAGGAACGGGGCCCAGCGGGGAGGAGACGCCGCCTGGTGATTAAGCACGTCTCCCCACCAGATCGGTTAACCGCAGCCGCTGCCGCTCGGGGCACTCAGGCGCCTCAGGCACTCCACCTGCGGTGGCTCCCGAACAGGGGGCCATGGTGCAGATCTCAGAGGTTTGCTGGGAGGGGCCCGTGAAGCGGTTGCACAGCGCCTGACACAGTAAAGCATGCAGCAAACAGTAGCTCTTAGGAAGATACCCCGATTTTTTTTTACCCCGGGAAAACACTACAACACATAAGTTCTGTGGTCGAATCGGGTATCCACCCTTACGGAAACATTCAGCTTTGCCAAGTTGGGTGACAAGCTTAACCCCAACTTCCCTATGTGGCTTAGCTCCAGCTGAAGGCGGTCATCTCCGGGCCACGGCAGCCCTTAGAGACCCGGGTTGTTAGTCCTGGGAGGGGCGTCGGGAGGGGAAAGCAGCGGCCTGGTAAGAACGGCGCCTACCCCAGCCAAACAGCGAATTCGCTGTAAAACCGCGCGAACCCCAGACACCGTCTCCCCATCCCCAGCCGCGGCTAGCCGCTTCGCTGCGTCCGTGTGCGGATTCTTTTGCGCCCCCAGAGGGCGCTGGTGGGCTAGGTAGCCGGCTACCCTTTCCTATACACGGCGCATGTCCACGCTGCGGCGCGCCTCCCGGGGCGGGGGGGGGGGGGGGGGGGCGCACATACGATTGCCCTTCACAATCATGGCGTCGCAGATACCGCAGTGGAGATGTGCCCGCCCCTTACTATCATGGCGCCTCAGTAGCCCACCGGAAGGGCGCATGCCCCTCACAATCATGGCGCCACAGGAGGGAAAGTACGCCCACCTCTCGCAATCACGGCGAAGCAGGCGGCGCTCCGAAAGTGTATTCGCCCCTCATAATCACGGCGTTGCAGTGGAGCGAAAATGCGTCTGTCCCTCGCAGTCGTGCCAGTAACTGCACAGCCTCGGCTTTTCCGCACTAGTGCCCGCCCTCATAACTGTAGTGCTGGCGAACGGTGTAACCTGGGTTTTGAAGGCGGGTATCTGCCTTTACAGTCATGGGGGCACAAGTCCGTGGACGTACGCCCGCCCCTCACAATCATGGCATCTAGGCCGGCGCTCCGGAAGTGTGCCTGGCCCCTCACGGTCGTGGAACGGCGGACCTTTCGGGGAAGTCGGCCTGCCCCTCACGATCATGGCGTCTGAGACGCGCTTCGGAAGTGTATTTGACTCTCACAATCATGGCACCGCGGACCATTCTGCGCAAGTGCGCCTGCCCCTTACAATCACCACAACCGGCACAGTCTCGGGCCTTCAATGCTGGTGCCCATCCCAATAACTATAATGCCGGTGGACGTCGCAACCTGGGATGTAAGGGAAGGCATCCATTGGGAGAGCACCTGCCCTTCACAATCACGTCATTGGCAAAGAGCAGAGCCTGGATTTTGCGACACTGGCGCCCGTCTCCTTAACTATAACGCTAACGGACCAGTACAGCCTCGGCTTTGAGGAAAGGTATCTACCCCTCACAGTCATGGCGTCAGTGGACAGCACAACGGAAGTGCGTATGCCCCTCACAACCATGGCGCCGACGAACGGCTTAGTTGATGCGCGTGCCCCCGCCCCAAATTATGGTGCCGATGACCGGCTCACAGGAAGTGCGTTTGCCCCTCATAATTATGGCGCCGAGGACAGGCTCAGGGGAAGTCCGCCCGCCCCTGACAATCATGGCGCTGCCAAAGCTCCGCGAGGGGGGTCCTGCCCCTCACAATCATGGCGCTCGCGAGGCTCAGCGGGGGAGCGTCTGCCCCTTACAATCATGGCGGCCAGAGCGGGGCGGGGCGGGGCGAGGCGGTGTCTGGGAGGGAGAAGAGGGCTGGCTGCCCCAGCACAAGCGCTCATGTGACTGAGAAGATGGCCGTCTTTCCCTGGTAAGGAAGAAGCGGCGGGTGGTCTTCGGAGAGGGGCTCTTTTTGCTGTGTCTGGGTCTGTCTCTTCGAGTGTGAGCGTGTGCGCGCGAGTGAATGGGAATTGCTCTTTTCGGGCGTGCTGGCGGAGTCTCCCATCGCATCCCGGGTGGTTTTGACCACAGACTCCCCGGCCTCTACCCCTCCAGAAGAGGTCCCTGAGACAGGACGGGGGGAATCTTGGTTCCCCCCCGGCTACCCCTTTCTTGAACCTTTCACGCCCCCCCCCATTCATTTCATAAAGAAAACTCCAGTTTCCCGGCTTCCTGTTTCCCAGGTTCTGGGGGCGCTGCATGCAGGGGGTGGGCTCAGCTCTGAGTCTGGATGATACGGGACACCTGGCTGTTTCCTCCGCTGTTCAGCTCACCTGGAGGACTCTTGATTTTATTTGTAAAATGGCTTCCATTCGTCCCACTGCGTGCTGGGCACCGCGGATGCAGAGCCTTCAGACATACTGCTTGGCCTCAAGGAGTTGACAGTTGAATGGAGCAGACACACACAACAGAAGGGTCTCCAAAGCGGGCATTGGGATGAGGCATAACCTCCCCTGGGGGGCTCCGGGAAGACTTAAGAGGAGCAGAGTCTTAAATTGGGTTTTGGAGGATGCATAGGAGCTCATAACAGGCAGGAACGGCATGTGCCCTGGCTGACCCGCCTGTCCGCGCTCTTGTGACTGGAGTGGCTGGGAGGGATTGGTGCTGTGTGTGCACCAGAAGGCCGCAAGCTGTGACGGTCACAGTGGGATTATTTGGGGATATGCGCTCTACCCTGCATCTCAAAGGGAGATCGTTTTCTGATCTTTCTTTCCAAATGATGTAAAGTGGTTTACCTTGAATGAGTGAGTAAATGAATACACAGCCTTAGACTCTAGAAATACATACAACCTTCTGATTTTATGCTTGATAAACAGCTGCCTTCCACACTCGAAGAGACAGATAATAAAGTGTGGGTCGAAAGAGGCATTCTGGGGAGATCCACGACAACGCAGCTGGGCTTGGGGAGCCCTGCACCCCAAACCTGCAGCCCAGGGCCTGGATTGGAAGTCCAGCTGCTGGTAATGGTTAGGAGCACAGCCTCTGGGCTCCAAACCTCAAGCTCCTTGCAGGCTGTACGACTTTAGGTAAACTAACTGCTTCACCTCTCTACCTCCACTTCCTCACCTGAAAAGTGGGGTTGTTTTGAGGATTAAATGATATGCTACACATTAAGCACTTAACACAGTGCCTGGTGCACACACAAACGGCTCCATAAATGTCAAATTTAACGAAAGAAACCCATTTCTTCTCTGTAGACCTTCTCTGTTTCCTCATTCATCCCACAGAATATTGCTGAGCACCTACTATCTGCCATGCTCCATGCAAGGCACAGCAAGGTTAAAACTCGGTCCCTTTATTTATTAAAAAATTTTATTTAGAGAGAGCGAGAGAGAGGACGCACACCAGCAAGGGGAGGGCCAGATGGAAAGAATCCCAAGCAGGCTCTGTGCTGAGTGCAGAGCCTGATGTGGGACTCGAGGTCACGACCCTGAGATCATGAAGTGAGCCGAAATCAAGAGTTGGGCGCTTAACGGGCTGAGCCACCCAGGTGCCGCTTGGTCCCTTTAAAGAGCAGCAAGTGTTGGGAATCGTTAGGATGAATATGTGCTGCCGAAGGAACCTGGAGAGGACGGCCAGGTCAGGGGCTTTGCAGACCCCAGGTGTTAAAAGGTTTATGGCACCTCTGTTTGATTTAAAGTAAAAAGATCGCAGGTAAAAATGTACTGGGATGCACAGATTAAAATAGCATCTTCCTGGATTTTCTCATTCGAAACTTCCAGACAAGTTAATTGAAGCCAGATGTTTCTCATTGGTTTTGGTGTTTAATTAAGCCTTAATGATACCCTACAAGGTGCTTCGCGTGACTAGATCTAAGGAAACTCGGGGGCATCCAATCCCGATTTAGCATATCAAGACCTGGGAAGGAAGTCGCTGAAGTGTTAGCCAGCTGCGGTGGGAAATGATGGCTTTTTTTTTTTTCCCTGGCAGCCGTCAAGGACCCACGCGAGCCTTTAGCGTTGCCAGGGGCTGGGATGATGGGCGATTTTTATCAGCCGAGTCTGCTCTGTTCTGAATGGAAAAAGCAAAGTAGGGATTGTGAGAAAATGCCCGTTGGGGGGCGCCGTTGGCCTTACCAAAGACCCAGGCCGTGAGGACCAGGCTTTAGCATCTCAAATTGTGGGGAAACTAGTTAGGAGCCTAGAGCAAATTTGAGTGGAAGAAGTGATAGAAAGATCAGCTGTTTGACATGGAATTTCTAAAAGGATAAGTGTTCCCCCCCCCCGCTTTTTTTGTTTTTCCCAGAAGCAATTTTTCCCCCTCCCCTCAAACTTAAAAAATGTATTTCAAAGCTTGGCCCTTTAAAAAAAAAATAGACAAAAGTAGACAATTGTTTAAGGTTCTCAAGATGACCCCCAGCTGGTCTCCAGAGCCCCTGCATCTGAGAATCGGGCTGCCTCAGGTTGCTTGTGTCCCTCAGCACTTGCTGCTGTCACCTCAACTCTAAGCCTCAGCTTCTCCGTCTGGAAAATGGGCGTAATAATAGCACCTGCATCAGGGGGTTGGTTAAATGAGTGCAGGGAAAGGGCTTGGCATGGATCCCCGTGTACAGTCAGCACATAACAAGCGAGAACTATTATTTCTATTCTGCATATCACCCTACTCTTTTTGATACTGTACTTTTCTCAGCTGTTGATTGATTTGTTGACGATTATGACAGGGATGAAAAACATTAGCAACTGAATTTCCGGTCCGATTACATTTCCACTCATCCTACTAAACCTTTCAAAATTCTATTGATAAAGTTAAGAATGATCTGAAAGGAGGGAAAGTGTCATTTGATTTTTTTTTTTTTTTTTAGATTTTATTCATTCATTTGAGACACACAGAGAGAGAGAGAGCATGAGCAGGGGGAGAGGGAGAGGGAGAGGGAGAAGCAGGCTCCCCGCTGAGCCAGGAGCCTGATGTGGGCTTGATCCCAGGACCCTGGGATCATGACCTGAGCCGAAGGCAGATGCTTAACCGACTGAGGCACCCAGGTGCCCTGTGTCATTTGATTTTTAAACTCTGTTACGGCTGCCGATGGCTATTACTCCAATTTATTTATTCTTGAGGTCTTTGTTTATTATATAAGTCAAGGATTGGCTGGCTGCATATCAAAGGGAGTTTGGAAGAGCATTTTATATTTTTGGGAGACGAGGACCGGTGTGGTTGGTGAGTGTGACCCAGAGACATTAGGCAATAAATATATCGTGATAGGGGTTTTCCTTTCAAAAAAATAAAAAGTCGAGCTCTACCAGTATTGTTGACCGGCCTTCCTCCGTTCCTGCCCTCAAAGCCACTGTTAATTTAGAAAGGGATAGGCATGAAATGACCTAGGATCTCCGTTCTCTTGTACGGAGTTAGGTTTCTGGGTTAGTGGAGCTCGAGTAAGGCTGACAGGTGGCACAGCGCAGCTGGATTTGGGGTCCCTGCAAGGACTAATGAAGCCAGGGGGCAGGGAGTGGCACGGGGTCATGGTGGGAGGGGGTGGAGGCTGAGGAACGAGGTGACCGGCTCTCTGTGCTCTTTGAGGCTCTAGTGTTCTCCAAGTTTTTAAAACCTGTTTCCCTTTTGATGAGCCATTCCGGCTTTCAGTCATTTCTCTCTTGGTTTTTACGGTAAGTATTCAAGAGCAGCCAAGTTGCTCCTGCAACACTTTGCTTAGAAATGTCCTCACCCATGTACCCCATTTCATGGCTCCCAGGTTCTGCCTTCCGCAGAGCACCAGGATGTGAGCGCAGTCCAGCCAAGCTGCCTGCCACATTATGACAGGGAGCACCTTTCCATGTCCAGTTACCTGGTCCTCATTTCCATCTGAGTGAGTCCTCGCTAGACTGACCTTCACCGTCCGAACTTCTAGCAGCTTCTGTTTGCAGCCACTGGCGTGTTCTGGAGGAGGGTCGAGGCTTTCTCTGCAGCTCTCCTGCCCTCTCTCCGAGCCCTCACGACAATCACCCGTGACCGTCCACCCGGGGCGATGACATTTCTAGTCTGTCTTACAAAACCCTTCCAGCCTGTACCTGTTCCGGTTCCTGAGCTGCTTCCTCATTTTTTAGGTATTTGGTACAGCAACACTCCCACTTCTCAGTCCCTGTTATCTTAGTTCATTTGGGCTACTATAAAAAAAAAAAAAAAGACTACAGATGGGGACAATTATAAACAAAAGTATTTGTTTCTCCTGGAGGCTGGAAGTCTGGGATCCCAACACCTGCATGGTGTGTCTTCATGGGGTGGGGGGCTCCTGGGGTCCCTGGTCTCAGGGCTCTGATCCCCCTCATGAGGCTCCTCCCTTACGGCCTCATCACGTCTTGAAGGCCCATCTCCTCTAACACCATCATCTTTGGGGGTGAGGATTTCAGAACTTAGCACCTCTTCTGTGCTAGTTGTGCGTTTTAATGCTACGTGTATTTTAAATACCGTAAGTTACCATTTTTTGCAGTCACTAATCTAGTTTTACCCACACCTTTACTTTCAATTACTCTAAAGTAGGTATGGGTGATATGAGTGTGTACATGCACATACGTGTACATGTTATATATATAGGTTTTGTTTTTGATTGAGATCACTTTGTTTCCACATGTACCTTTTTTTCCCCCTTTTTCTTTGACTGGAAGCTCTTCAGCCCTTATGACCGAAGGGCAGTTTCCGTAGGTGCAGAATTTTTGGTTGGCAGTTAATTTCCTCGGGACTTGAGTGGTACCATCCCTTTGCCTGTTGGCT